GAATTACTGAAATAAATCTACTTTTTCATGATATTCTAATTTTATGACCAGCACCTGTAGAATAAAGTAAGTAAAGACAGCAGCAGAGTGAGGAATTGTGGTCAGTTTGTTTTCTAGTAGTCTAAGACTGTATATTTGCTATGTTATGTACTTATGTTAGGGAAYTGATTGCAGGATTTTAGTTTAGGGCATCAGAATAAACGGGACTAACAAAACAAACAAAAAAAGCATATACAGTATATGGTATTAAACAGTGTTCCAGTGGCTCTTAAAAYATTTTAAAAGGCATTAAATTCATTAATCCAAAGATAAGGCCTTTATTAGCCTTAAAAAGTCTTAAATAACATTTTAAGTCGTCCTGGAACCAGAAGGTCGCCGGTTCGATCCCCCGTCCAGCCATCTCAGTCGTCGTGTCCTTGGGCAAGACAATTCACCCACTGATGGTGGTCAGAGGGTCCGGTGGCACCTGTGCATGGCAACCCCACCTCAGTGTGCCCCAGGGCAGTTGTGGCTACAGTGTAGTTTACCATCATCAGTGTGTGAATGTGTGTGTGCGCATTTTAGTTTTATTTCAAGTTGTGTTAAAGAAGTCTTAAATTAAACTTGCCTTAAGCTGTAGGAACCCTGTTGAAATCCATGAATCACTTTCCTTTCACCATGTCCTGAGTTGTGCTGATCTGTCTCAATAAATCCCTATAAAATACAGTAGCTTGATTTTTGTGGTTGTATCATGACAAGACGTTGAAAAGTTCAAGAGGAATGAATACTTTTTTCAAAATACTGTAACATTTTAAGTGGTCACATCCACAAGCAAAGCARTTCAAGTTCAAAAAAGGAACAATCCTTTATTTAAAAAGGGTGTGTCTTTTCAGAACAGAATGACATCTCACAAATATTTAACATAGCATTCCTTCATCTAAGTTTGTGTGTGAATAAGCTTCTTATACAAAAGATTTTCTTTTTGAATTGAACTTTGCCCTCTCTTGTTGTTTGCTTTACCCATTAGCGTATGGCAAAGTGTTCTTGGTGAGGAAAGTGAGTGGCCATGATGCAGGGAACCTGTACGCCATGAAGGTTCTGAAGAAGGCCACAATTGTACAGAAAGCAAAGACTGCTGAACACACGCGGACCGAGCGGCAAGTGCTGGAGCACATCCGCCAGTCTCCATTCCTTGTAACGCTTCACTATGCCTTCCAGACGGATACCAAGCTGCACCTGATTCTTGGTTAGGACGTGCAATGATGAATTGTCTTTAATGTCCTGTATATTTCCCATTTCTTTGTTTACTTACACCAAAACACAATTTTCACCAGTTTTACAATACAATTAGCAACATAAAATTTCATGTGTGCCTGTTCCTGTAAGGAAAATAACCACTCTTCATATTGCTGGCTGATAATATACTGCTTTTCTCCATCAGATTATGTAAACGGGGGGGAACTCTTCACACATTTGGTGCAGAGGGTGCGGTTTAAGGAGCAGGAAGTAGCCATTTACAGTGGAGAAATTGTCTTGGCACTGGAACATCTTCACAAGGTATCTTGCCGATTTTAATTCTGTAAAATCAATGTGTACAGTGTAACTTTTTGTCTGTTTAATCTGTGTTTTATTGCCTCGTTGCAGCTTGGGATTGTCTATCGGGACCTAAAACTTGAGAATATTTTACTGGATTCAAGTGGTCATATAGTTCTCACAGACTTTGGCATGAGTAAAGAATTTGATCAGGTAAAGTTTGTGTCTGTAAACTTTGGAGTTTTGTGTTGAAGCTAACAAAAGCCAAAGATTTTCTCCTGACCAAAACTGACTCATTTTTCTCCCGTTGTAATAGGCTTTATTGAATAACAAAAGGGGAGGTTATTCTTTTTAATTTAGTTTTACTTCTCTCCTTTTAAGGAATTCCCCACAAAAAATGCAATGAATGGTTTTCTACATGACAGAATTTAGCAGTTTTATCAGAACCTTTTATTTTCCACTTTTGATTCTTATATACTTGACATATGTGAATATAGCAGCTTTTTTACATGTTGCTTGGTTAATTGTTTGTTATTATTTGTAACAGTTTGTTAGATAAATCAAGAACCTAACACACCTGGATTGTTTAAAGATTTACCTAAAATTTGTGTATGGAAACACCTAAGATAAGGGGTCTGTAACCTGAAAATTTACATTCTGTATAAAACTAAGTTTWTTTCTTTCCTATGTTGTATAAATATAAGAATTTATGTTGTATTGTGGCATTTAGTTTGTCTTAGTGTTAGGTCAAAAATTAAAAAATAACTATCTAGTAATGTACAAGAAAATTGTGCAAAACGACTTCATTGTTCATGGTAGATCAGTGAAACAGTCTCATAATCCTGAGACTGCAGGTTTAAGTCCAGGTTGTGTCAGTAAGGACATCCGTCATAAAACAAATGGCAAATATTCCTTGTTATCACGGCCCCTGCTGAAAGAAGCAGCCAAAAGAAAAATAACTTGATTTATGATGAACAAACTTAAAGTGCCTGTGTCATGTATATCCTTCAAATACAAAAAAGTCAAATAAAACATCTTTATATTTAAGAAACTTGGCATAAAACACATGATTTTTCCCATTTTTTTTTTACATAACTGGCATATAACTTGGCTCATCCAAAGTGAAACAGGAAGTGACATCAAAAAAGAACCCTGTAAGAAAGGGAACTCTTGGTCTTTGTTATTGAATTGAATCATCTTCATCTCTCTATGAAGGTGATTATAAATTATCTAAAGAAACATCAGATTCTTCTCGACAGCATGTGTTTTCAGCCATTGTAGCAATGCTCTGTTCACATGCAAACATTCCCGTTTGTCATCATAGTTACTTCACATGCAAATTTATCAGAAACTGTTTATCTCAGTGGCATGAATTTTTTTGCAACAAGTTATTAATGTTATCTGGCCAAAAAATGCATTCATATTTATTTTTTTAAAAATATGTCACAGGCACTAATTTTCTTGTGTATATAGAACACGTGTTAAACTCAAGGCCCGCGGTCCAATGGGTGACTCCTGTCTATTCCGCCAAATTCTTCTTCTTCTTTTTTTTTTACTTAATATGAAAATTGCTTTTATATCAGTGGTAAACATTAAGTTTATGATTAAATGCAATAAAATAAACTAATTTAAAAGATGAAAGATAATAATATTTGTCCTGCCCCAGAGCTGTTGGCTTTAAGTAACTGAGCAATTTTGTTGGCTAGCACAGTATTAAATAAGCTGCTTCAAAGCCAGCGTTGACCATATCGATTAGTACTTTTCAGTGCTTATAAGAGGACATGTTAAAATGCTGTTTCTATGCAGGAAATACCACGTAGAGCTCACTTTTTGTTTGTTAGCGGTGCTTAGTTGTAGCAAATTAATAATAATATATATATGTATATATAAATCTCCAAATTAAAGTACTTAACATAAAAATGTACTAATTTGTGGCCTTTAAAAACCTTAATTTCTTTGCATAAGAGGTCACAATTTTTTTTTACCTGAACAGCTTTACACGACTTTTTTTATATCCAGATTTCTTTTCCATTTTATAAAAGAAGATCTCTCTGAATAAACCTTACATATCTGTATATCTCATGTCTTTATATTATTATACAGTATTATATGGATCATTTTTGGTGCCTTAAAACTAGTAATGTTCAGTAGATATGCCAAATTTCTTTCCACTTTCTGCTGAGAAACTGCCAACAGTACACATTTCTATTGTCACTTGAAATTAAAAATTGCCCAGACTAGAGACAATAAAATTAAAACCAAATCTTTAGATTTCTATAATCTTTACTTTAAGCCCTGGTCAAATATGTGCATATATTTTAATTTGTAGAAAGGTTTTGAGTTGTAAGGACTTTGATTATCTGTATGCTGTTATGATTGTCTTCTAGATTTCTGTATTTTTTTTTTATTTAACCACTCTTTTTTTGTTTGTATGTTTGTTTTGTTTTGTAATCAGGTCGAAAGAGCTTTTTCTGTTTGTGGCACTATTGAATATATGGCTCCAGAGATCATTGAAGGAGGAGAGTCTGGACATGACAAGGTAAAATTCTAGTTTTATTACAGAAAACTGACCCCGTTCTATCAAATCAAACCTGTCTGAACTTGTTCCAGTGAATTTTATTTTGTAAAAAGTCATGAATCTATGCATTCCAGTCAGTGGACTGGTGGAGCCTCGGCGTGTTAATGTACGAGCTTTTGACTGGTGGATCACCCTTCACTGTGGATGGAGATGAGAACTCACACACAGATATCACCAAGTATGGATTCATTCTGATAAGCATCAAATCAGCCACAACATTTTAGTTATTATCATCAATGTRCAGCACTGACCGAATCGAATTTTCTCATTTCAGAAGGATTTGCAAAAAGGATCCTCCCTTCCCCAAAGACATGGGACAACCGGCCAAAGATCTAATCAAGCAACTCCTCATCAAAGATCCAAAGAAGAGGTTGGGTTCAGGGTCAAATGGAGCAGAGAATGTGAAAAAACACCCGTTTTATCAGGTGGATCTCAGTGCTTTAATCTATAAATTCACAATATTTGGGAACATTTAGACATTTGCGCCAAATATGTTTTTGTTTTATTCTCTTCAGAAAATGAACTGGGAGGACTTAGCAGCTAAGAAGGTGCCTGCGCCTTTCAAGCCAGTGATCCGGGATGCACTTGACGTCAGTAACTTTGCAGAGGAGTTCACAGAGATGGACCCCACGTACTCCCCTGCTGCTTTGCCACAGAACTGTGATCGCATCTTCCAGGTGGGTGAATGGGTAGTTACACAACCAGACTGTGTGTCAGTGTRTGTTTTGGGTCTTTTGGCTCTGTTATTTGATTACAAAGATAATTCCTTTGTTTCCTCTCAGGTTTCATGGAGACATTTAAATTTGATATTGTATAGGTAGCAATACATAATAAGGTCCTGTAAATACTGAGTACATACCAGATGAGTGTGAGATACGTACCCTGATGTACCCACTAAGTACCTGGTATGTATCCAATAAGTATCAAGTAAGCAGTAGGTACATATCGAGCACCACCTTGAGGGTCTCAAAAGAACAACAGTTYTTAACTTTGGGCCGCAGAGGGCCGTGGGACCGCATTGATTTTGAAWATGGTGCAATACACTTTCTCACCACTAGKAGCGGTAGTGCGCCACTCAGWTGTTTAACAATTTTTTTAATATGTAGAAGAAGAACCTTAGATACCTGCCGAAAATGGAAACTTATTTTAAATGAAAAATTGAAGCAAAAATGAAGGTAACCCATCAAAAAAG